TACTCCTAACCACTGAGCCATCTCTCCAGTCCCCATGTATTTACCTATTTAGTGTGTGTATGTGTGTCGGCACTGGCATGCCATGGCACACATGTGAAGGTCAAAGGATAACTTGCAGGAGTTAGTTCTCTCTTTCCACCATGTTGATCCTGGAGATCCAACTCAGGCCAGTGTCTTAACCCACTGAGCCATCTTGCTGGCCTTGTCTCTAATATTTTTTAAGAACCAAAAGAAATTTATTTTACAAAATGTCCCACCTACTGGGCACGGTGGCTCATGCCTGTAATCCCAGCAATGAAGAGGCTGAGGCAGGAGGACAGCCAAATTCAAGGCTAGCCTGTTCTATATAGCAAGACTTTGTTTCAAAAACAGAAGACAAGAGAGCCAGCCAGATGGCTCAGTGGGTAAAGGCACTTGCTGCCCAAGCCTGGCTACTTGAGTTTCATCCCTGGAATACAGGTAAAAATGAAAGAAAAACCTGATTCTACAAAGTTGCCCCAAACTCCATATCACACACACACACACACACACACACACACACACACACACACACACGTACAGTTTTAAAAAATTTTAAAGACAAAGGCTGTGGCTATAGATAAGTAGTAGAGTGCTTGCCTACCATATACAGGCCCTGAGTTAAATCACCAGCACCAAACCAGAACTGCATAAACCAGGAGTTATGATACATACCTGTAATCCCAGCACTTGAAAGATACAGGCAGGAGGATAAGATGTTCACAGTCATCTCCTACATAGGGTATTTGAGGCAAGTCTGAGCTAAAAACATTGTTTCAAAAAAATTTGCACTTAAGGACATGGTGGTGCACGCCTTTAATCCAGGCCCAGCCTGGTCTACATAGCCCAGTTCCAGGCCAGCTGGGGCTACAGAGACCCCCAAAAAAAAAAAAAAAAAAAGACCAAAAAAAGTTTTGCACTTGACTCAGAGTGAGAGTCAATAAAGAACACACTAAGGGACAGTAAACTAAGACCAAACTAGTGCTCTTTTGGGGGTAATAGTGGTGGTGGTAGTGCTAGGGATCAAAATTAATGTGGCCATTAAGCTACATCCCCAGCCTCTACTTACAGTCTTTTAGCTCCTGATTATTGGGCTCGATGTCCTTCTGAGTATGTCTCCTCACACAAAGACCCATTTAAGCAAAGGGTCAGTACCATTGGACATTTGAGCCACAGAATTAAATTACAGCCTGTTCCCTGTCTTCCTTACATAACTATTTCACCACTTTCCCCCATTTCCTTGTCAGCTTCTTTCTCTTTTTCCTCTTCTTTGTTGTGCATTTTGTTTTGTTTTGGTCTTTGTTGTTTGACATAGGGTATGATGGAGCCCAGGTTCGTCTTGAACCCACCAGTTTGCAATCCAGGGTGATCATGAATTCCTGATTCTCCTGCCTCCTCCTCCCAAGTGCTCAGATCATAAGTATGTATTTCTGTATTAGTTATTTTTCTATCGCTGTGATGAAACTCCATGACCAAGGCAACTTATAGAAGGAAAAGTTTATTGGGCTTACAGGTTCAGAGGGATAAGAGTCCATCAAGGTGGGGGAAGCACTCAGGAGACAGAGGCAAGGCAGATCTCTGTGAGTTCAAGGCCAGCCTGGTCTATATAGCAAGTTCTAGGCCAGCCAGGGCTATATAGTGAGGCCCTGTCTCAAGTAAACAACAAAAGGGGCTGGAAAGATGGCTCAGTGCTTAAGAGCAGTGACTGCTCTTGCAGAGGACCTGGATTTGAGTTCCAGCACCCACAGGCAGCTACAACCATCTGTAACTGCAGTTCCAGGGGATCCAATGCCTTCTGACTTTTGCAGGCATGACACAACACAGGTGCACTTACATACATGCACTCATACACATAAAATAAAAATAACGAATAAAAATTTTAAAAGGAACCAGGTGTCGTGGCGCACGCCTTTAATCCCAGCACTCGGGAGGCAGAGGCAGGCAGATCTCTGTGAGTTCGAGGCCAGCCTGGTCTCCATGGTGAATCCAGGACAGCTGGGGCTATAAGGAGACCCTGTCTCGAAAAGACCGAAAAAAAATTTAGATGGAGTCACACTATGGAGCCCACCCTCAGTGATATGCTTCCTCTAGCAAGGCTGCACCTCCTAAATGTTCCAGGACCCCCCCCAAACAGTTCCACCAACTGACCAAGTGTTCAAATACTTAGAGCTGCTAGATGGGTGGCAAAGGCCTTTAGTCCCAGGGGGATCTCTGTGAGATCAAGGCCAGCCTGGTCTACAAAGTTCCAGGCCAGCTGGAGCTACAGGAAGACCCAATCTCAAAACAATAAAGAAAAAACAATAGTTGGAGCCTATGGCGGCGGCCGGGGGGGGGTATCTCATTCAATGCATCACAGCTACCATGCCTGACATTTTTTTTGTGGGCATTGGGAGTAGGGGGACTAGGTCTCACTGTTTAGCTCAGGCTTGTCTCCAGTTTGCAGGGATCTTCCAGATCATTTTGGAGTGCTTTGAGTACAGGTATAAGCCCCCATGCCCAACTCTCTCTCTCCTGTCAGTTTTCTTTATCTCCTCTCTCTGTCAACTTCTTTTCTTCCTCCACTGTTATCTGCTTTCTCTCTTTTCTTGATTCCTTTTTCTCCTTCATTACTCTCTTTTCATTTCTCCATTGTCAGGTCCTTTCTCTCCTTTGTCCTGAACACTGATATCAATTTGTTTTTATTATAGCCTTCCTATTCTGAAAAATTCAATGACAAAAATTGGAACAGAGGATGTGACTCTGAGAGGAATGTAGTCAGAGCAAAATACTGTAATTTATCTTTCATCCCACAAACTTCCAACAGCGTGGCTTCCATTTCTGTTCAGCCAATCCTCACTTGAGTGCTCCTGGGTCCAATACATTTGCCCTGAGTTTCTCAACATTTTCCTAGAGCTGAGTTTTGTTCATCCACTTTGGTGCAGTTCAGGAACTGTGGATAATTTTACGAAATTATTATGGCAGGGGTGGGGGAGTAGTCAAGAGAAAATGGATAAAAGAGCCTGCTGTCAAGCTCAACTTCCCGGTTCAATCCCTGGGACCCATATGGTGGAAGGAGAAAACAGTCCTGGATTTGCAAGTTGTCCTCTGACTTCCATACATGCTCTCACACACCTACACACAAGATACGTAAATAAATATAATTTTAGAGCAATTTTAAAAAGAAAGAAGGGATGGAGAGATGGCTTAGCAGTTAAAAACACTGGCTGATCTTGCAGAAGACCCAGGTTTGGTTCCCAGTACCCACACAGTGGCCAACACATGTCCTTAACGCCGGTTCCAGGGGAACCAATGCCCTCTTCTGGCCTCTGTGGGCATTGCACAAATGGACACACTTACATGCAGGCAAAACACTCAGACACATAAAATAAAAATAAATAAATAAATAAATAAGGCGGGGTGCGGTGGCGCACTTTAATCCCAGCATTCATGAGGCAGAGGCAAGCAGATCTCTGTGAGTTCGGGACCACCCTGGTCTCCATAGCGAATCCAGGACAGCTGTGGCTACAGGGAGACCCTGTCTCAAAACAACAACAACAACAATAATAATAATAATAATAATAATAAATTATAATTATAATAATAAATAGTTGGGTGTGGTGGCACATGCCTTTAATCTCCGCACTTGGAAGGCAGAGGCAGGCAGATCTCTGTGAGTTCGAGGCCAGCCTCCTCTACATAGTGAGTTCCAGGCCAGCTGGAGCTACAGGGAGACCCTGTCTCAAAGAGACAAAAAAATAATAAATAAAAATTTTAAATAAAGATACTATATTTTTGTTTTGAGGTTTTATTTGTTTTTTGTTTGATTTTTTGAGATAGGGTCTCCCTGTAGTCCCACCTAGCATGGAACTTGATCTTTTTTTTTTAATGGGTATACGTGTATTACCTGGATGTAGGTAAGTGCACCCATGTCGTGCAATACCTGCGGAGGACAGATGAGGCTATCAGATCCCCTGGAACTGGAGTTACGGACAGTTGTTAGCTGCTATGTGGGTGCTGGGACTCGAACCCGGGGTCTTCTGCCAGAGTAGCCAGTCTCAGAATGAGCCATCTCTCTAGCCCCAGAACTTGCTCTTTAGAGCAGGCTGGCCACCTACCTCTGCCTCGTAAGTGGTGTGCACCACTTTTAAGTGTGCGCCACCATGCCTGGCTTAAGATCTAGTGTATTTGTTTTCTTTTTTTATTTATTTTTCTTTTTTGTGTACGTTTTACCTGAATTTGAGTCCACCACGTGAGTGCGATGCCCACGGAGGCCAGAAGAGGGCATCGGATCCCTTGGAACTGGAGTTACTGACAGCTGTTAGCGGGCCATGTGGGTGCTGAGACCCAGACACATCCTTTAGAAGAGCAGTAGGAGCCGAGCGTGGTGGCACACACCTTTAATCCCAAAACTCAGGAGGCAGAGGCAGGCGGATCTCTGTGAGTTCAAGGCCAGCCTGGTCTACATAGTGAGTTCCAGGACAGCTAGGGCTACAGGGAGACCCTGTCTCAAAAAGAAAAACAAAAAAAAGAGTAGTAGGAGCTCTTAACCACTGAACCATCTCTCCAGCCCCTATCCACTGTCCCCATTTTGTTTATATACAACTGTCACTAATTTTGGTGGTGGTGTGGAGGGAGCGTCTGTTCCGCGTTGTAAATACAGTGCCTTATGCCTGGAACAGTCCTGCTTTTTTTTTTTTTCTTATGAATTTTTCTACACTTCTTACATCGGTAAGACACAGTAATGTGCACACAGTAAGTGCTCAATAAATACTTGTCAGGCACAAGAGAGAATGAATCTCTAGGAAGAACGAATCCGCCTTCAGCCACCGCTACATCCGCTGAAGAACTACACTTCCCGGTATGCTTGGCGCGACGCGTTCCTATGACGTCTAAAGTGCAACCACCGTTTCCCACGGCATTTGCCGCAGTGTTTTACGGGATAAGTAGTTCCTGTGTTTCTCGGCTGGCCTCTAGCGAATTGAACGTAAACTAAATTTTCCAGCAAGCCACGCGCCAGTCTGGGAACCAAGACAAGATGGCGGAACCTGAAGGTGGTACTGTGCAGCCGGCTGAAGTTCCAACGGCCCTAGTTTCCTTTGGCTTCACTCGCACGTCTACCCGGAGGCGGCTGGCTTACCTGGGAGCCGGCGAAGGGCCGGCCGGAGAAGAGAAAGATTTCTTGAAGACTGTGGAAGAGAGGGAGCTGCAGAGGTGAAGCGCCGCGTCTTTAACCTCTTGAAAATCTGTGCGGGGTTGCAGGAGGGAGGACAGAATCTGAGTTGTTTGTCCGGGTAATAGTGACCTATAAAGCCTGGCACACAACCTCAAGAGATTGATGGAAGCAGCCGGGAGTAGTGGCGAACGCCTGTAATTCTAGCACTTGGGAATCTGAGGCAGGAGGCTCAGGAGTTCGACGCTAGCTTGAGATCCTATCATGTCCATGAAGACGAGAGTTTGTTAGAAAGGTGCGGGAAATTGGACCTGATGACCAGATTAAGAGGATGTATTCCTGAGAAAGAAAGAGTCTTTAGGACTTGGGGACATTGAGGTTATGTGCGTTCTGAGAATGGCAGAGGGACAATGACAGGACCCTTGATGTCTCTGCTGAAATAGTGGGGCTTCTCTCTTGTGGAGAATGTGACAAATTAAGGTTTAGGGAGGCTGTCATCAGCATAGTTAGGAAAGGAGGATCTGAAAGACCTAAGGGAAAGACTTTCAGAAGACAGCTGTCTAGAAGGGAGTTCTAGAGCCTGGAACTAGGAAGAATGAGAGCTGAAGATGATCCGTGGGGTCATTTGTGAAAGACAGCCTAGGAATGATTCCTTGGAAGACACTGACATTTATTAGTTGAAGGGACACCAGGAATTGTGATACATGTCTGGGAGGTTGCAGCAGGTGAATTGAGAGTTCAAGACCAGCCTACATAGTGAGACATGATCTCAAAAAAAAAAAAAAAAAAAGAATTGAGGGACTTGTGAGAAAGAAGCCAAAGAATGCACCTCAGACAGCATGAGAGCCAAACAGCAGAATATAGGGCATGGTCCATGGCGCTGGGAGTGAGTTTGGTCCTTGTGTTTTCTTTTTTTAAAATACTTTTATTATTTTTTGTGTATGAGTGTATTGCCTGCATGTGTTTAAGTGTACCTGTGTCATGCACTGCCCGGGAGGTCAGAAGACAGTGTCTAATCTCCTGGAACTGGAGTTACAGATGGTTGCTAGCCACCATGTGGTTGCTGGGAATCAAACCCAGGTACTCTGCAAGAGCATTCAGTGCTCTTAACCATTGAGCCATCTCTTCAGCCCCAAGGCCCTTGTGTTTTATATAAATGAAGAGTGAAGGAGCGTGGCTCCACCCTACTAATTTTGATATTTTCCCAAACTTACCCCTCTGTATCCACATCAGTGTGAACTCTCCAGAAACCCCCAAGGAACTGGTCATCCCGTTGATCCAGAATGGCTCTCGCAGGCAGCCACTGGCCCAGACCCCTAAGCAATCCTCTGAAACTAGGGCTGTGCCGGTGTCGGATGGTGTGCTGTCTCTGGCTGTGAAAGAGCTCATTGAGGGTGAGTGACCCCTCCTGACTTTGCTCTGCCCCAGTGCAGGAGGACAGGAAGTTGGAAGGATAGGTTATGGCCTCATTGCCTCCTCCCATTCTTCCTTAGAATCCAAGAAGTCTCTGGAGGACAGAGAGAATGCAAGTGTTGACCCCACGCTCACTATCCCCATGATCCAGAAAGGATGCACCCCCAGTGGGGAAGGGACAGACAGCGAACCCCAGGCTGAGACAGTGAGCTGTCCCCTTACCTCTCTTCTGCCCCATTCCCTCTGCCCTGTCTGCCTGACCTTGCACATAGCAGGGTAAGTGTGTATGTGTGTCCCAGAGCTGGCCAACTTCATCCTGTTTAGAAGCATGAATAAATAGATAGCACGGTGTGGAAAAAAAGTACTTGAATTCTGGGATTATCTGAATGTGATTTATATATAAATGTCATAAGGGTACACCATGTCTGGAGCCCCATTTTGTTGTTGTTTATCTTTTTCTTCTTCTTTTGTCTTGAGACAGGGTCTCCCTGTAGTCTCAGGTGGTCTGGAACTTATATGTAGACCAGGCTGTCCTCAAACTCAGAGATCTGCCTGCCTCTGCCTCCCAAGTGCTGAGATTAAAGGCATGTGCCACCACGCCCTTCCTTTTTTCTTCTTTTTTTTAACCCATAGTACTAAGGAGACCAATGCAACTGGAGTTATGAATAAGGAATCAGGCAGTAAATGAAGGCAGAGAGAGCCAGATTAAGCAGGGCCTTGTGAGCATCAGGGAAGACTTTATGGCTTTTACTTTGAGATGGGACATGTGGGAAAATCCTTAGCGGTTAGGGCTTTGTAACAGGATCCCTCTGGCTTCCATGAACAAAACAGACTAGTAAGTGAAGGTGGGGAAGCATGGGGACTAGTAATCCAGACTAGAGATGGTAAAGACTGACAGGAAGCTGGGTGTGGTAGTGCACGCCTGTAGTCCCAGCACTTGGGAGGCAGAGACAGGCGGATCTCTGTGACTTCAAGGCCAACCTGGTCTACATAGTGAGTTCCAGGACAGCTGGGGCTCTTGGGAGACCCTGTTTCAAAAAGACAAAACAAAACAAAAAACAAACAAAAGAGAGTCTGACAGGAGTGAGGCCTGGAAGGATAGATAAGATTTAGTGAGAGAAGACCAGGATGAGTACTGTTAATGGAAACAACAACCCAAGAAATGCACAGTGGTGGGAAATGAGTATGGTTATGTGTCAGTCTGAGGCAACTTGCATTGTATCTGGAATGACAATGAAGAAGTAAGAATGGGAAGTGACAACAGGAGAGATGAAAGATATGTCTGTGGAAATAACAAAGTTTTAACCCAACTTTTGAGCTTTCACAAATTTTTTGCAACACTTCCTCAGACCAAACTTTCAACTGAATTTGTCAGCTTTCAGCTATGCTCTGATTTCTTTTCCTCCTCCCCTTCCTCTTCCTCCTCCCCTTCCTCCTCCTCCTCCCCTTCCTCCTCTACTTCCTCCCCCTCCTCCTCCTCCGACAAAGTTTAGGTGGTCCAAGCTGGCTGCCCTTTCCTCTTTTTACAAAAAAAAGAAAGTCAGGCATGGTGGCACACGCCTTTAATCCCAGCACTCAGGAGGCAGAGACAGGTGGATCTCTGTGAGTTCAAGGCTAGCCTGGTCTACACAGTGAGTTCCAGGCCACCTGGGGCTACAGGGAGACCCTGTCTCAAAAAAGACCAAGAAAGGAAGGAAAGAAAGGGAAAAAAGAAAGAGTACCTCCTTTTCTTTCTTTTTTGTTTTTTAATTTCCATGCTGGTATTGGAATCTGGGGCCTTTTCATGCTAAGCTCTGTTACTGAGCTACATTTCTCTTCGCTCTATCCTGGTCAGCCTTGACCTCATTTCTCTAGTTTTGTCCTCTACAGAAGGCCTCATCTTCCATATCTCAGATGATGATCACAGTTCATCATCCTCACTGAGCTTAAAATGCTTGGGGTCATTCTTTTTTTTTTTTTTTTGGCCTTTTTGAGACAGTTTCCCTTTAGCCCAGCTGGCCTGGATTCACTATGGAGACCAGTCTGGCCTTGAACTCCCTGAGATTCACCTGCTTCTGCCTCCCAAGTGCTGGAGCCATTCTTGATTTCCCTCTTTATCCTATATATTTCCTGTCAGCCCAACCCCTTTATCTCCCTTTCCAGCATATCCAGAAGCTAACAACTACTTACCATCACCATTGCTAACACGCTGGGCTGAGGCATCAGCATCTCAAGTCTGGACTATCAAAGTAACTTTGTCATCATGGGTCCTTATTGTGGCTCCCACCTGACTCAAGGTCCCCTGGCTCCTTCCTAGCTCTCCTCATTAATTTCTTACCATTTCTGCTTCCACATCTCATTTCAATCATGTTGATTTTCATGGTACTTATCACAAACACATACCAAGTCTTACACTACCCCAGGCCTTTACTTTTACAAAACTCTGTTTGGAATACTCTTCCTTCTCATTTCCTCATACCTCTCTCTGCTATCTATCTCTGATTGTCACCTCAGTGGCACCCCCTCTCTATCCCTCTGCATTCCCTTAGCCTGCTTTTGTTTTTGTTTTGAGATGGGTGGGGGGTCTCACAATGTTGCCTAGGCTGATCTAAAATTCTTGGGTTCAAGCCACATTCTTGCTTCAGCCTCACAAGTATCTGGGACCACAGGCAGTGCCACCATGCACAGTTCTGCTTTATTTTTCTTAAGACTTATCACCACCTGATGATCATGTTTTCTGACAATTGGAATGTAGGCCTCACAAAGGCAAAGCTTGTCCTCAACAAACATTTAGAATAGTATTTGCCACAGAATAGAGTCTTTGTAAATATTTGTTTAAGCCTGGCCTGGTGGTACGCACCTTTAATTCCAGCACTCCAGGGGCAGAGGCAGGCAGAGTTTGAGGTTAGCCTGATCGACACAGGAAGTTCCAGGCTAGCCAGGGCTACATAGTGAAAATCCTGTTTCAAAAAAAAACATTTTTGAGGAGACCCCACCAGATGGACTTGAACCAGTGTCCATTCTACAAAGAGGAGGGTCAACACAGAGGAATCATTTTCTCCATGCTTCCAAGCGAAGCCAGCCATGGTCGAGCAGGA